TTAAAACTTTCGTTTTTAACTTACTGACAAAAAAAAGAAGCCAATTTTGATAGATTTAAATATGTTTCAATTTGATAATATTTTATCGACTTAACTCTGTGAATTTCAAAAAAAAACTTTTTTTTATTAGTGTTATGAAAAAAAAGAGTTTTTTTTTTACCCTGACACACATGTAAATAACAAATGAAAATTTAGTACGATAAGTGACTTTGTACTGTGTAATACCATTTCTATGGAGTATGGGTGAATAATAAGTTAAACAAGACAGACAACATTTTAACTTTTCACAAAACATTTTAATCACCTTGACATAAATGACAATGTGTGTGTGCTTTATAATTTGGCCAAGGACAATCATGAACAACAGTATAACACTTAGTCACACTAAATGTAAAAGCTTTTTTTAATATCCTCATTTGACAAAAGGTCCACGATCCACGCTCTTCTGACACATCGATCTACATATTTTCTTTTAAAATTCTCTCTCTTTATCTTCGTCTCTCTCTACGGCAATACAGAAGATAGCATTTTTTTTTTTAACATTATCAAAAATCATTGTAGATCAATAAATTTTGCTTCACGAAGAAGCTTCAAGTAGGACTCACTATTACGTCTCTCGGTCAAAAAAGAAATTCGGACTAATCCTAGAGTCCGAACTTTCACAATCATATTTCATTATTACATAAAATATGTCATATTTTAAACGACCCGCTTTCCTCTTTGTGGCCACAATTTTTACTTTAATAGGAAAAAAAACTATTTTTTTAATATATATACACAGCCGAAAGAAAAAGAAATCCATTAAATTTGATTTTAACAAATTGTTGAAGAAATCACATTTATAAATGCAAAAAGAAATCTAAAATAGACATTAAAGGAAATGTTCCATGGTTCTTTTTTGAGGAGAGAAAGATTCTATAAATATTATTATTTTTTATTTAAATAAAATCTACTTCGGCATCAACCTTTATTAAAATCGATTTTCTTTTTTTGTTCTTTCATTAGAAATTCAACTCATTTCGTACCCCGGCTGATGAATATTATAACGCCTAACTTACCATTGGCAATTAATACTTACACATCTTAATTTAATTACATAAAAGAACCATTTTTATATTTTATATCATTTCTTTAACTGAGGAATATTTTTCCAATGATTCATAGAAAATCAAGAATATCTTTTAACAGTAAATTGAAAATTGGGATTGAAATATCATAATTTCAAAATTCTGATAAATATTCAGTTGTTTATGGTACATAAACAAAAAAAGATAGAACTAGTAAATGTGAAATATTAGATATGAATTTACTTACATTAAAATTTTAACAACAAATAAGAAATAATCTATTTATTTTAATTCAAATGTTTGCGATATTTATAAAAACTGAAGGAAAAAAAGTGAAACAAAACCAAATCGTTTAGATATTACAGCATATTTTTTTCCTTTAAAAATTTTAAATAAATTGTAAAAAAAAGCACATTCAATAAATATTTAGATGATGATGTATATTTCTTTTTATTTAAAATGTCCATGTAAATGGTAAATTTTTTTTCAAAATTAATAAGTACAGAATACTTAATTTTCATTAAAACAATTATGTGATTCTTAAAAATCAAATAAATTGTAAAAACACAAAGAGGACTTTTTTTTCCCTCCAGCAATAGTGTGGCCACAAAGAGATGTCCAAACAACAGAGGAGGAACACCTTATTTCTAAATCTATGATCTTAAATGAAATGACAACAAACATCACAGAGCCCATATCAAAGAACATTACAAGTGCCCGATATGCATGCTCAAATGGACGTAGTTAATGAGTAGATTGAACAAGCTCACAGGAAAATGACATCAAATAGCTTCACACAACATGCACAGACACAATTAAACTTTATATATATGATTCTTTGTAATGCAACAAAAATATTTTGATTTTTTTTCGTTCTTTCTTCATAATAACAAAGGTAATTAAATCTCTTTTTAAATTTTGATTTTTTTTTTTCGTTTTGCGATTATAAAAAATTGCACCATTCTCTTTTTTTGATCCATTTTTCTCAGAAATAAGTGAGCAACAAATAAAAAAGGTTAAAAATACTGTGCAATAGTTTTGATTCATGAGACCAACTTATCCAAGACAAATATATTCTTTCAAGATTTAAACTTTTTTTTCCTTCCCGTCAGTTTACTGAAAAATAGATAATCTAATCCAGCTAGTTATACATTTTATCTATGAATACATGTTTATATGGCAATAGCACCTTTTTTTGTGAATTATTAAAAACTCACGTATGAAATCACACTTTTTTTTTCAATAATTTTTTTTATATTCGTAGGCACATATGATTGGAAAAGTTATTTATTATTTGGTAAACTGTGGTCTAAAGAGCTGAATCAAAAATGACTAAACCTATCTGCCTCACCGCAAATAAATGATGCAAAAAAATATTTTCTTCCAAATTTATATCAAGTCTTAAAAAAAGATAAATATATTTAACTGATTTTTTAGTCAATAGTCATATTAAAAAAGAACTATTATACACTTTGGTTTTAAAATACTAACAAGCTCAGAGCGTAATTTGAAATAGCACTACTACTTGTTTATCACACTTTTGATTCGATTATCGTTTCAAATAAAAACCATCTCGTCAATGAAACTTTTCTCACTATTTACTTCAAATTCAAGATTTTAAGTTAAGTAATGATAGTATGTAATGTATCGATATCAGAATGAATAAAATGAGCTATAAAACAATTAAAAGTTGTAGTTTCGTATGATGAAAATTTATCAAGTTTATAGAAAATGTTAAATATTTCATAGCGACAAATTTGATATGGCACACAAAAAGTATTTTCTGTTTCACGAATTATACTGCCAGATAATTATGAGTAAATATACTTACCTGTAAGTACATACGATGTAATGTGAAATATTAACAAGTTTTAGTAAAATCATCTCAGAAACTTTTTTTAAAAAAAACAAACAAACTATAAATTATTGTTAATTATGAATGTACATGAAATTAAGAATTCTAATTTAAGAGGAAAATAAGTCTCGCAAAATATTACATTCAAGATTTACATATACAATGAAATCTGATGGATAATAAATATATTTTCTACATATTTAATTGAATCACACAATGATTAGCTTTGTCTAAATCTACATATCTATTTAAAGCTGGTATCATTAAAAATGGCACCTTAAATCTTAAAATAGATTGATTTCATACTAACTTTAAAACTTTTTTTGTATTAACATTCTAAAATGTATCATTAAAATAAAATATTGACAATAAATGCTATAATTAAAAGTATTTGCTTTAAATCTATCCAATTTTTTTAAAATATAAATTTGAATAATAAATAAAAAATCATTTGTCTTGCATAATCTAGCAAACCATATAATTATAACAAACATATTATTTTTTAAATAATTTATTTTTGATTATTAAATTTTCTTATCTCATTTAAGTTTTTGGGAAACAAAGCAACAAAAAAAAAAGTTCTTAAAAATCTTACGAAAATAGGTTAGATATTTTCCTTTTCAGTTTTCTTTTACAAATTTTATCATAACAAACAAGGACTAAAAGTTTTGTAAAAGAAAACGTGAAAGAAAATGGTTTAAATACAACTAAAGAAATGATATTTACTTTTTTAAACTTGATATAAAATGATATCAGGCTTTATACTATCGTCATTTTAACTTCTCATATATATATATAGATAGATATATGTATAGATATATATATTTATTTCATATTTATATATATTTACAAAACAGCTGTTTACTCGATGGAAACGCATCTAATTCGCAGCGAAAATTCCGATTGCTAATGTAGTTCATTTTTTTGAAAAATGCACAGGTGTGCAACAACAACCATAATGGAAAAGAAAAAAATAATTTGTACATTTCTTCCACTTGAAAACTAACAGTACCATTTGTGGATAATTCCACTTGGGAAAGTTTTTCTTTCGCATTATTTGAAAATAAATCAGTAGAACTCTCAACACCAACAAACTTTTCAAGTGAATATATATATATTTGTATATATAAGATGAATCAGTCTGTAGTATGGCAAAAAATAAAGATCACTTTTTTTTATAGCACCAGGCGCACTTATTCTAATTCACCCGATGACGCTGATAAGTGTTCATTCTATCAGACAAAAAACACACTTTGTAATTCAGGAGTCGACAAATTAAAAATAAATTAAAAAAAGGAAGAATTGTTGAGAATGGCATATCTAAAAAATTTAACAAAATCTGTGAAAATTTAGAATAAGTCTTCCTAATATATTTCTGTTCAAGGGAGACTGAACGTCCTATTCTAAATTTCGTAAAAATATAACCGATTTTGGATGATTTTTTTTTTTTTAAAAAAACTGGTTTTAGCGAATCTAAACGAATTCTTAATTTTTTTTCTTTAGAAATTTTAATTTTGCTAAATATTTTAACAAGATGATTTCTAAAATTTGACTTAAAATTTAATTTAGACATCAATATTTGAAAATGAAAAAACAACGTGCCGATAGTCAGAAGACACAAAAATATATAATAAATATAAGGTCTTTTAAAATCGATTTAGTATTTTCTGAGGCAAAAGCACATAAAAGTGGGTCTTATTAAAATGGACTGGAAAAAATAACCTACCCCTTGTAAGCAATATTTTAGAAACTGCAAACCAAAACATGTCACGCAGTGGGTTTAACGTTTATCTTAATGGGGGAAACAAAATTAGAAATATTTATTAACTTTACGAACAACAAAAGTTTTCGGTATTTTTTTGTCTCTTTTTGACAAATACTTATATTAAATTAGAAAACTTAAATTTCATTTACTTATGTACTGTCCCCCCAGATTACATTTTCTTTAAAATCAATTACTATTTTCGATATTGAAAACTATTAAACTTGTGTTTACGTAAATAACTTAATTTGGAGAACCAAATTAGCATCAATGTCAAAACTTATCCCATTAATATCATATGCCAACCCTTTAAGAGTGATAATGAGATATTCTAGGAATAGTTCGTAAGATACTTTTTTTCCCATTTCTAGAAGAACATTTTACCAAATGAATAAGAATTGGGCACAGCCGTCGCCAAAATTTGATTTTTTAAGACCCATCAATGGGAAATTATTTAAATATTCCTTTCATTTGTTTATTAAATATTGTTTTTGTAACGCAGAAAATCAGTTTCGCCAATGTGCCTATTAGCTAGACACATATGTTAATTTAGATAATCAGCTAAGTAATTCTTAAACAATTCAACCTTTTTCCAATTAAAAAATATATATATATGTATAGGGAAGGGGGAAATCATCACCATTTTCCTATCCAACTACCATATTGTCTCGATATTTCAAAAGCAATAACTAATGCACCCATGAGCGAGTGGATGTGATTGCAGCCTGGTGGTGCTGCGAGTTCGATGATGATCCATTCATGGATGCTGAATCGAAATTGAAGTCCAAATTGCCATCAACACTGAGTTCATGGCGAATGACTTGATCCACATCACACTCCAACCCACCAAAAGGTTGCTCGATGTCCAGATCCTGTGGAAAGGAGTTGTACATGGTTAGCACTACATGGTTAGCTGTGTTTACTAGAGATGTAGCAGAAGCTGATGGCTGTTGAAGATGATGTTGCTGCGGTTGCATGTGTTGTTGCTGACTTAACATGTGTTGGTGGTAAGAAGGAGCTGGGTTTTGTGGCGTGCTTGCACATGCAGCAAGCAGTGGTGATAAACGTTCTTCCTTCATTTCTTTGTACAATGACTGCTGTTGGTGTGGCTGTTGCGTTACACTCCTTATTAAAGGATCGACACTGTCTAAAAAGGAAACTTGCCTGTAACTCTGCATTCCATCAAGTTGTGCAGAGGACTGCATTGTCTGCTGCTGCTGGTTGTTTAGACTCTGGAGATTAGTCAAGGTGTATGATCTACCATTGACCGATTCTATCACCTAAAAAGGGGAAAAATGAACATTAAACAAGAAGCAAACTGGACAGTAAAAAAATGTATTTTTTAAAAACATATATTGATATTTAATGTAGATGTTGTGCAATTTTAATTTTTTTTATTTATAACATTAGCACAAATAAGCCATGAAATACACTCCAAATAAATTTTTACATTCGTTTTGGAAACATATTCACAGGCTACTTCAATGACTTTACCATTTGCTTTTCTAACAAAACTCAAGATGTTACTTGTTCACATACAAAATGAGGTCATTTGATCCCATTTAATCGAAATGAAAATTATCTATATAAATGTTTTTTTTATTTTTTAAATAAAAATCATAGTGTAAGGCTGTACATGAATCTCGAATAAGTACAGCCATAGTTATCGAAATAGATAAATTATATTAATTATATATTCACAGTTAGTGAATGTATATTATAACAGTGCATATTTACATAAACTCGCTAAGGATATATTTACATCTCTGCTTATAGGCAATACAGAAAATATCGATTTAAAAATTAGAAACACGATATATTAAAAATATTTTAAAATAAACGCAGATTTTGCTTACCTGTTGTTGAGCAGGAGGCCGTTTTATAGCATTTATTTGATCGGGGCTGACTTGTTGTTGATAAACAGGTGGTCGATAATCCCCAGTGTTTCGATTGAGACTACCATTGCTGCCATAGTGAGGGTTGAAATTCAGTGTGTAACTCCCACCAGATCCAAGTTGCTGAGGAGATGGTCTGCCATTAGATATAGGTTTGACTGCACAATCAGCTAATCTTGAAAAGCTGTCTGCTTCACCACCAGAGCCATTCCGCAATTTCATCGATTCAGTAAGAGATTTCACCAGGTGATCAGTTGTGAATCTGCAATAAAAGCAAAACTATTGAAGAAAACACTGAGCGATACATAGTTTATCACAAAATCTTCTACTTCAAGTACATAATAACTACAATAAAAACAATACTTTTATTATTTTGGTAATTCCGAACAAAATACTAACAGTTATTATTTTATATCATTTTTATACATTTATGAAAAACCATGTATTTAAGAAATAAAATAACTCTTTCGATTATGTTATAAACCAGAATCTCTGATATTAGCCTTACACACACATATATCTTAATAATGAACAATTTTTAACCCATTTCAGATGGAATTTCTATTCTAGATTAAATTAACAGAAAAAAACTGAAAGACGATAGGGATTAAATATTTGTAGATAACTTTTAAAAATAATAATTGCAATTATATAAAAATCAAACCATTATATTCTTAGCCCATATTTGAAATGCAACTGACTACCATGAAACACCAGTTTGTAAATCATTGGGCACGAGAAGAAATCGAAAATACGAAAATATGAATGTTGTAATAAATATAATATCTATTAATTGCAGTATATGAAGTCATTAACATAGAGCCTTTTTCAGAGGATCGAGCAAGATATCTAAGGTTACTCAATAAACACATACGTTTTATATAGCTAAACACAGATTATGCTTTTACTGAGAAATCATTTTACGGACATCTTGAGATACTGGCGACATGAAACGCCTTTCAGACATTTAACAAATGCTACTGAACTTAGTTGGTTAATTTTAAAAGAAAATAATTTCACTTCAAATAATCATATTTTAATCATAACACATATAGAATGGGTTCAGATACCTGTCCATCCCATTGCCTGAAGAAACTGACTGCTGATCGTATCCACCAAGATGCACCATATCAGTATTCCATGACAATGGCTCCAGAGATGGCATGTCACTCTCCTGGATGTCTGATTCTACGGCCGGTATGGGTGAGAGGCGACCACCACATGAGCTGGCGTTGGATGAAGCCCTCGGACGGAAATCAGGACTCAGCTGGAAGCCATGATGGACTGGCGAATCGGGAAATAAATCCTGGCCTTCTGAAACAGATGAGCTGGGACTCGGAGTAGCACCATTTCGTAGAGCTTCAACCTTCTTCTTTACTCGGCCGCGTTTCTTTTCATATTTCTGCGTTTCCATGCTGGTAGCTCTGCGCCGAGCAGCCTTGCCAGGTTTGGCGTCAGGGTTGATCATCCACCATGAGCTTTTGCCAGTGCCTTCGTTTTGGACGCGCATGAAACGGTTATGCAGTGACAGGTTGTGTCGTATGGAATTCTGAAATGAGAAATTTTTTTTTTAGATACATAATCTTTTTTTTACACATTAAAATAAAATTTACAAAAAAACAAGTGTTGTATCATGGATCACTTTCGATACATATATGTATTTTTAAGTAAGGAATATTGGTATAAGGTGTTGTTATTCGCCAATTTGGTCAACCTAGATAAAAATCATGAAAACCAGTATTTAATTATTAATGTTTGCATACTTTTATGAGCAATGCAATGTAGCGTTGAAGGAACTATTCAAATATTAAAAAAGCTTATTTCAAACACTTTTTGTTTTCACTTTTTTTCATACTAATCTATGTTTATCGTCATTTTTTTTTTAAATTAGCATATAGCACTAGCTTAAGATGGACAAAAATTTAAAATTCATGAAAAGGTGTCATTTTAACTAACAATAGTAAAAAAAAAAATATAAAAAAAAAAATAAATAAATAAAAAAAACGTTATTACATATGACGACAGAGCCTACGATGAACATTCTTATAAATAACAAAATAACTAATATTATTTTTATTGTTCAGATAATACTTTATTTTCGAATTATTAAGGGACCGAAATTATTAAGGAACCGATAAAAGGAAATATGAATCTAGGATAAAGAAGAAAACGGTATATATCCTAGACATCTGTCCGATATGCGTCAATAAAAATTTAGTGCATAAAGGACGAAATATCTATCAAATAAACGGCAATGCTTAGAAGGAATGGAAAAGCTGGGAATAGAAAAATATCACCTTTTGTCACTCAGAGTTCTATATACTATATAAAATAGTACATAGCAGCACATAGATGATGATATGCTTATTTGTTACAAAATATTGCTTTCGCCGATGAATACATTTCATTCCTTATCTTGCGCAACGCATACGATTTCATGCATTTGGTATGTAAGAGAAGATTACATCGCTTATTTTTTCTTGCTTAATGCGTCATACGCTTTACTTATAATTTTATTGGAATGAAGAAAACAATTTATTCATGTATTAAAAGTTATGAGATTAAATGATGATAAATGAAATTGAAGAACTTGGGAAAAAAGAGATGTGAATTGTATAAGTAGTAATTATATAGAAACATAAGAAAGCTGATATTCCAAGGAAATTCGTTAGTTTGTTTTAAAAATAGACGAAAGCGTTCATTTTTGTCATTTGTAAAATCAAAAAAAGACACTTTAGGGGTTAAAATCAAAAATGATACTTTTTTTTTTTTTTTTTACAAATAGAGATAAAATAACAAAAACGCTGTCAGAATTTGACGAATCACCATTGAGTATAGCGGGACTTAAAACATGTAAACTAGTTTAACTGTCAGATGAAGAAACGACTTAGCTATTTCTGTAGCAATCAAACGGGTTTTAATGCTTTAAAAAAACTCATAAGAGGATGCTACACAGAGGGAGAACTTTTTAATGGGGATAGGGAGAGTGTAGGTAAATCTAGAGCAAACCATCAATATTTGAATACAGAATTTTTTTTTTTTACACGATATCAAAATAAAAACAAATTATTGTAAGATTACTTTCCCAGAACGTAATTCCCCGAAGAGAATTTGCTGTAAAGGGTTTCTCCTGCGGTATAGAGCGTTTTTAATGATTCGTCAGAGTGTGACTCCTAAGGAGCATATATTACACCATTTTTGACAAGGATTAGAAAGAAAAAAAATGATACATATATGATTAGGGAGCACCCTAAAATGATAGAATATATCGAAGTAAAAAATATGGAAGCTAAAATTTTGAGTAGTAAATGTCAATGGGGTGAATTGTGTAGAGGTTTTTTACAAAGAGACACCCCTTTAAGTATTCGCTTTTGTTTCACTAAAATAAACCCTTGAAGTAAATGATGTATTGGGAGAAGCATCGATCAGGGGGACACAACCTGTTTCGAACAGGTCAGTAATGATCTTATGGCGTGTGGAGTGGACATCGAATCTATTTCACCCCCGCATCCTCTACCCCCTGTTCTATCGACAGAATGGATGCGTGCTTCAAATTTTTCCTGCCGAAAATGCCTATCTCTATTATCTGAAGATTCGGAGAAATGGATAATGTACATGCAAAATTTTAACAGAGGGAGAAGAAATTATTGTAGATGTGGGTCATAAATTTGAAGAGGTAATTCAGCGTCACGCTTCTTCAGATTATGTAACGGAGGTGCAAAAAAAATTTTGGGGCTGTCCGAAAATATTGGTAGATTACGGTCCTGAACTTTGAATAATCGATAATAAAAACGTTGAAACGTTCAGTCAATTAATATTTAATATCTTAGCATTGAATAGCAGATTTATAAAGGATTTGCGGATACCACTGTACAACTTCGTCATTTTGAACCCAACCCAGAAGACATGGATCAAGCGTCACATAGAGAGAAAACCTCTCACAGTTATATCGATATCAAGATGACACTTATCTTTACCGAACTAGACTTATATTCAAATGAAATGACACATCAGAAGTTTTCAGCTAATTTAAAGTCATTGTTAACATTCTAGCCATTAATATAAATTGGAAAAAAACGATTTTTCACAACTATCGATGAAGAACTTATTAACAGAGCAATTTTACAATAAAAGGTTTCTCTTTAGGTCGGCTAGTACAAAAAATAGAATTACTGAATTAGACAGTGATAGTTCACAAGTGGAGCAAGTAGAGATGTTATCGATTAAGTAATCGACATTTTGGAAAGTATTTGCAAGAGAAATTATAACTTTGGAATATGTTGAAAAAATAAATGGGTACACTACAATAGGAATAGCGTGATGGGTAAAGGAAATGGAGGCATGTCATGTTCAATTTTAATTTAGAAGAATGTATATAGATAATTCGAAATAAAACATCTTCCCAAATACTTAAAGTGTTAACATCATTGGTCTAAAGAAATAGGTCATGAAAAATTTTAGACATGCAATATCTAAATTAATGTTACCAAAATAATACTTTTTTTTAGATAACACACACATTAATAGGTAGCTAATAACATTTAATGGATAGTACACGTCAACATGTCGTGAATACCGCGAAGACAATTAGTACTTACTGTAATTTGTTGTACTGACAAAATTTTGTGAACTTAAAGCACGACACTAAACGACAAGGTTTCCGAATTTAAACCAGGCCAAAAAAAGCAGGTAGGTTTTTTTCTGGTTTATAACACTAAGAAAAAAAAAAAAAAGCTGGCTAAATTTTTTTTTTTTTAAAAAAAATGCCTTTATATATATTTTTGCACTTTGTTGCAGTATTAGACACCTGCTGCATCATATATAACAAAATTTTTAACTACTTTTTTTTACAGAATAGTAATCAATAAATTGAATTTAAATACACATATGTTAATAGTGAATAAGATAGAAATTTAAAAAAAATAAAGCCGACTTTTAAAAATAAAAGTAGGTCTTTTTAATAAAATTAGACTTCTTCAGCCCTACTAGACGACCCTTAAGAAAGTATTTACATAAGCGGGATTTTATTCTAAAATTTAGTAAACAATATAATAATCCCAACAAAAAACCACGCATATTGCAATAACTATTATTGCAACGCAATTATAATACTCAAAATTTTGCACTCATTTATCTTTATGAATGAACTTTTTTGATGAAAAAATTTTGCCTCTTAACTTCCATGAAGTTGTAAATTTCATTTTATCAATGAAGTTTAATGTTAAATTTAGTACGTTGTTAAAAAAAAAGCTTATGGGTAAAAAACATATTTTAATTCATCTAAATTAAAGGCAAAAACAAACTATAGAATGAACATAAACACCAGGAAGCAATTCGTAAAACATAGTTCTTAGCTGAAAACCGATACGATTATTATTGGCAATGTTAATACCGCGCTTGACTACAATAATAGAGCTATCGTTATTAAGAGCAACGGATATTACCTGCGATAATATTTTAGTAATTATCGACATGATATTATCATGATTATCGATAAATATCACGATAAATACGGTCGGCTCTTGCATGATGATACTAGGAGAAAATCTTTTTAGTGATTCCAAGTACAAGGACATGGTGAGTTAGCTCTGCTTTGCATAGGTGCGATTAATTGAAAAATAAAATGTCATATATCGATATTTTCTGACAATGTATCACGATACATTTGAAATAAATTTCAATATTGCACAAAGTACAAAAAAATAAAATATTTCCTTCAATATAAAGATGACAGAAGGAAGAGAAGTAAAAGTGATATCTATGACGTGCTGTAGGATAAAAACGACGACTTACTTTAAAGTACTCAAAAGAACTTATTTTAGGTCATTCGGTGACCCAATTGAGTGAGGGCCATGGAGATTCGACAGAATGTCAAGGTAGAAGTCACTGTTACAAGAACAGCCCCTTTTTTATATCCTTCATTGGAATCGGTAGAGATTACTCCTTAAAAAAATAGCAACGGAGGATGTGCATTAGCAATTCTAACATGCACAACGATTTGGGCAGTTGAAGGAAACGATAATTTGGTAATAATAAAAAACAAAAAGAAAACGTTAATAGAATGTTAATATGCGATATTTTTCGTACACTTTGTGACAACGAAGTTTAGTAGAATTAATATAATACGTAGAATGAAGGGTGACTGAAATTTTTTTCAACATATGTATATTCTTTGCCCCAGCAGCGCGATTTGATTTATTTTTCATACTTAAAAGATTTATTTATTTATTTTTTTGTGAAAAAAAGAAGTTATTTTTGTTGGTGAAAAGATGATGATACTTGGAGTAAGAGCCGTGATGGGTTCAGGAGGTAGAGCGTTCGCCTTCCCATGAGGTGAACCGGGTTCGAATCCCAGCGATGGCTTGCACCGACCACAGTGCTGACGTAAAATATCCTCAGTGGTAGACGGATCATGGGTTAGAGTCCCATCAAAAAGTCCTCCACGAAGACAAATTTCTCACAATATTTAATCCAGGAATTCCCTTGTCTTCTGGATTAGGTTCAAAATTACAAGGCTACGTAGTTGAACATAAGCAGTTGTACACCCAA